AAATACAGAAATTAGCTGGGCTGCCTGTCCTCCCAGCTATTCAGGAGGCTGAGGCACAAGAATCAATTGAACCTGGGAGGCAGAGGTTGCAGTGAGCCAAGGTCAAGCCACTGCATTCCAGCCTGGGCAACAGAGTGAGACCGTCTCAGGAAAAAAAAGAAATTGTATTACAAGCATTTTTCCATGCCAGTTAAGAGTCTTTATGGCCATCCTTAAGTAGCATTAATTCCCTGTGTTGATCTAGCTGGTTTTCCTCACTATTTCCCTTTTCCACTTGCCTGTGTAAGTAGCACAGCTTTTCACCTTCACTAATTCCTGTGCACAAAATAGAAGTGGCTTCACAGTTTCAGAGGGTGGCAGCATGTTGTATGGCATGAGTGCCCTCAGCACTCATGGTAGAAGCGCTGGAGCACCTGCCAAGCCCAGGGAGATGAGGCCTAACCAGCAGAAGGAGATGCCACCGAAGACCAGTGCACTGTGTTACCAGCATTTTCACAGCAGGACATGAGAAGGGTGTTCATCGCAGTTTCTCTTCTGAGAATTTAGCCCTTTTTAAAAAATCTCTACTAACTCAATAGATGAAAAATAGTATTGTATTTAGTCTACATTTCTCTGTATTTCACATGCATGTTGCCTTCTTTGTAAATTCTAGTCTTGTTTTTGTTCATTTACCTTTTGGGATCTTAGTTTCCTTACAAATATTTGAGGTTTTTAGTATGTAAATAATAATCATGTGTCATTCCGTTACAGATATACGTATGTTAAGTAAGATGCCCTGAATCTTTCGGAGGCTGTATTTTTATTTCACTGGTGATTATCAGAGGCAGTAGTTACATCTACTCACTCACTGTTATTTCTTCAATAGCATTTCTTAGCCCTAGAAAGTCCTTTTTCATTTCAAAGGCAAATTTCAAATTTGCCTTTGTTCCCTGTATCTTCTGCTAGTTTTCTTTCTATGATAAAATATACATAACATAAAGCTTACCATTTTAATAAGTGCATAGTCCAGTGGCGTTACATCACACTGTTGTGCAGTCATCACCACTATCATCTCCAGAGTTGCTTCATCTTCCTCATCTGAATCTCTGTCCCTATTGAACCCTGACTCCTGCACCCCAGCTCAGCTTGGCATCCTCTTCTGCCTGCTCTCCTCCAGCATCGGTCTTCCATGGCACCTCCTTCTGCTGGTGAGGCCTCATCTCCCTGGGCTTGGCAGATGCTCCAGCGCTTCTACCATGAGTGCTGAGGGCAACAGCTGAGCATGGTCTGTGCCTTGGGCGAGGTCACTTCTCTGCCACTCATAGCTTGTCCTGTGTTGGCCTCAGTTTTCCTAATATGTTTAATGGGGGAATCATGCTGGCCTCAGGGCATGTCGTGGGTTACATGAAGCCCTCAACAAAACACACCCCTTCCTTCCAGGGATGGCCTCATCACTGTGCCATGGAGGAGTGACTTTCTCTGACTGATGTGGAAGTGAAACGGTCCTATTCACTCTCTTATTTTTCCTTCAGTTCATGATTGTATGGTTTTGGTTTCAGGGATTAGAAAATGAGTATCAGGAAGAAGGGCAGCTTCTGGGACAGTTCACCTATGATCAGGACGGCGAGTCGCTCCAGATGTTCCAGGCCCTGGTAAGAACCAGGGCTTGCATTGCCCCAGGGTTCCTGAGTCCCACAGCCTCTGGTGCCAGCAGGGCCTGGCCAGCATCGGCAGACTGGGAAGCAGTGTGAAGACCAGCCTCTGAAAAGCATGAACCTGCGCTGCTTGGCTCTGTGTTGGTGAGCCTTTCCGTGGGCTGACACTGAGTTCTGTTTTACCTGTGCTTCATGCCCTGTGATTACTTACAAGGATCATTTTTAAAAAGTTAATTTCCATCTTAGCTGCTTCCAGTCAGACATATTTGGGGAAGTGATTGGGCTTGGGGTTATTAACAGAAAATACATGTGTTTCTTTTCCTCCTTGATTTCAGAAAAGACCCGATGACACAGCTTTCCAAATAGTGGAACTTAGGATTTTCTCTAACTGGGGCCATCCTGAGTACACCTGTCTGTATCGGTTCAGAGTTCACGGCAAGCCTGTCAAGTGAAGACACTACACATTACTTTTGTACATTTCTGTATATACTGGGATAGCCTGAAACACTGGACTCCTTCATGGACGAGAGCATATACGATGATGGGACCGTGTCACCCCTTAAATAAACGTGGCTGCCAGCCAGAGGACGTGAGTGTGTGAAGGGCACCCTGACACCACTTGTCGGGTGCTCCCTGACTCCACAGGTGCAGAGGGGTTGCAGCAGTAGAAGTATGTTGAACACGTGGCTCTCAGACATGCCTTGTTTTGAACGGGAAGCTCTTTGTATTTGCATTTCCTTGACATCAGGAGCAAAGCGGATGAAGCTGAGTGTCTGGCATGTTCTTGACACTTTGGTCTTCTGCCTTGCACTGGCTCTTCTAAAGGACTTTTGGAGGGCAGATATATTTAATCTGTTAAATCCAACACACATTTCTTTCAGGGAGAAACAATGTCACCAAATTTTCAGAGTTCTAAACTCCTTTCCTTCAAGCCGGGATTTTCCTTTATTCAGCACCAGTAGGTACTAAGTCTCCAGATGGGGAAATGACTAAAATGTGTTATTCTCCTTTGTTTCTGAGAAAGGGTTCCAGTCAGGACTCGCAGTACTAATAGCCATGGAGGAATATAGGAGGGTTTCGTTCTCCTTGTAGGCTGAAGTGAGTCTGACTTGAAAGGGGCTGGTTTGGATCTAAGCAAACACCCAAATAGGGGTTCTCCAGTCTCTGAGGCTTTTCCTGTGGGGATTCACAGTAAACAGGAACCCAGAAATCTCATCCTGGGTGTCTTCAGGGCTTGTTTTGAGTTTTGCTGAATAGGGAGCACTGAGATGCCCTGAGCCTTTCTCTTTCACTGGTGGTGATCAGACGTGAAACCGTTACATTTCAGGATGATCATTTTTCCTTCAGCAGCACTTCTTATTGGCTCTGGCTGGAATTTGCCTTTATCACACCTGTCACCATTCTTACATGATTCTTATGAGACTCTTTTGGTTATAATATTTAATATTTAGACTATTTTACTGAGCAGACTTTATAAATGAGATACCTGCAAGGCACTTAAAGTATTTACAGACATCTTAAGAATTATTTAAGTTTTGTTGGGTTAAGACAGTTTTCAGTGTACCATAAGTGTTGTGTTTTCAGAAAAAGACAAAACGATGGTGCTGACTGGCTTTCTGTATATTGCACAACAGTCCTCAAATACATGAAACTATTAATACATCAAGCAACGTTCTTTTCACTCTCCTTAGAATTGGAACTATGCAGTTAAGGTGGATAAAATGTACAGATGTTTCATATATTACAGGTTACATATATAAATCAAAATTTCCTATATAAAACTGATTTGGGATTTGGGGTGGAAATATTTTGAATATTTATTTTTAAAGATGCAAGATAGGACTTTGTGCAATGTATTTTTGTAAATGCTTTTCAAAATATCTGTCTGGTAGTGCTTCTGCTGCTGCCACCAAATTGATAAGATGCTATTAAGAGGTTTAAATAAAGAGTTTTAATTTTTAAAAGTGCATGGGATAAAAACAGTATGTTTCTTTTCTCAGTTTGTCTGTCTCTGCCCCTGGGGTGTGGGGAGGGACTGGGTTTGCTGGCTCTTGTTGCAAGCTCTGTGGCACAGCCATTGAACAGTAGTAACCTGTCCTCTGAGGCCTTGGGTGTGCCAGGCATCTCTTTCTGTAGGGCACCATTTCCACTTGGAAAATGGACCGAATTACCAGTTGCTTAATGGGTATAACATTAGGAAAAGAGATGGCTTTCCTCAGGACACTTTTGTCATCACTGTCTCTGCAGCTGAAGGCAGGTGCTGGCACTAGGTCACAGCACACACACCACATTGTTTTGCAGCTGGCTTTTCCCCAGTTACCAAGTGTGTCCTGTAAGAACATTTCTTTTTAACAGCTGTTTTTGTCCATTGTGTGCACGGCTGGATCATGGTGATTCAACCAGGGCCCAGCATAAGGGCCTCTGTTTCCTCTTTTTTATTATAAACAGTGCTAACCTATGAGTCTGCTGACCCTGGAAATCCGACGGGTCTTTCGACCAAACCACTTTCAAACCCCAATGCTTAGAGCCAAGCCATTTCCAACCCTGCAAGGCTCGGGCTGGGCCCTGGCCCCATTTCTAATCCTCTGGGGTTGGACCCGTTTCCACCGCCTAATGGGGCTGGGAGCTCTAGGCCAACCCAGTTTCCCCCTCCAGCAGAGCCCCAGGGAGTGACTGCCCGTTCACCCAGGCTGTCAGCCGCAGGTCCCCAGCCACGGCCAGGGAAGGACCAATCGCAGGTGGCCTCGAAGAGGAGGAAGGCAGCTCAGCTATCCTAAAGCTTTTTGTTTTTGAAACAAAGGCTCATTCTGTTACCCAGGCTGGAGTGCAGTGGTGCGATCTCGCCTCACCGCAACCTTCACATCCCGGGTTCAAGCAATTCTCCTGCCTCAGCCTCCTAGGTAACTGTGATTACAGGCACCCACCACCATTCCCGGCTAGTTTTTGTATTTTCAGTAGAGACGGGGTTTCACCATGTTGGCCAGGCTGGTCTCGAACCCCTGACCACAGGTGATCCGCCCGCCTCGGCCTCCTAAAGTGCTGGGATAACAGGAGCCGCCGCACCCGGCCCTAAAAGTATTTTCAATTTAAACATTTTACACAGGTAATTTTGTATCTCAGTGGCTACTATTACACCACGCGCGTGGGGACCCGTAACGCTCCCTGCTCCGGGACAGCCGCCGCCGCCTCAGTTTCCCCACCGCGCCGCGCCGCGCCACGCCGGACAGTTTCTGTAACACCCGCCATTGTGGCGCCAGGCGGTCCCGGCCCCGGGTCACGTGTCGCCTGCAGCCCCGCCCCGGGTCACGTGTCGCCTGCAACCCCGCTCGGATCACGTGCCGCCAGGCGGCGTGCCCGCCCCCAACTGCGTGCGACTCCTCCCGGGCCACCGTAGAAGGGCGTCGGGCGGAAGCCGGGAGGCGCTGCCGACCGCGCCTGCGACAGCGTCAGCCGTTCGCGGAGCGCCGGCCCGATGGCGGCGGCGCGGCTATGGCAGAGCAGGAGAGCGCCCGGAATGGCGCCCGCAACCGGGGCGGAGTCCAGCGCGTGGAGGGCAAGCTGCGCGCGAGCGTCGAGAAGGGCGACTACTACGAGGCGCACCAGATGTACCGGACCCTGTTCTTCAGGTACTCGCGCCTGGCCCTCGCCGCGGCCCGGCGCCCGCCCCCGCCGCCTCCCATTGGCCGTGCCGTATCACCCCGCGCCCCCATTGGCCAGCGCCGCTGCCCGTCGCGGGCTGAGCTGGAGCCCCGGGTCGCGGGTCGCCGGTCTGAGGGTTTGGCCTGCTCCTCGTGGGTCTGGCTCTTCCCGGCCGGGCCCCCAGACCCCAGCCCCTCGGCCTCCAACTCCCGCCTCGGCTTCCCTCCCCATCCCCCGCGTCCCTCTCCGGCCTTCCCCCGCGTCCCTCTCCGGCCTTCCCCTACCCCTAGCCTCCACCTGTTCCCTCCTCCGGCCTCCCTGTTTGCTCGGCCGTCCCCCACCTCGGTCTCCACATGTTTCCCCGGGGGCTTCCCCTTTCCCCTCAGTCTCTCTTTCTCCGGGCTCCCCCTTCCCCCTCAGTCTCTCCCCGGGCTCCCTCTGCCCCTCGTCTCTTCTCCCCGGTCTCCCTCTGCCCCTCTTCCTCTCTCCCTGGCCTCCCCCTGCCCCCCCGTCTCTCCCTCCTCCCCGGGGCTCTCCCTGCCCCTCCCCCTCCCCCTTTTCTCTCCTCCCCCAGCCTTCCCCTGCCCCTACCTGGTCTCTCTCCCCAGGCCTCTTGCTGCCCTCTTCCCTTTTGGCCACCCTCTCCTGGCCTCCACCCCGTGGGCGTCCCTCACCTCTCCTGTGGCCTTTCCCACTCTGCTTCCTTCCCCCGGGCCTTCACCTGCTTCCCACCCCCTTGCCTCCCTGTCCCAGGCGTCCCCGCCCTCCAGCTGCACCCCCTACCTCCTCCACCCCTTTTGTGACCTCCACCTTTTCCCTCCCCCTGGCCTTCCCAAGCTTTCACCTGTTCCCCCTACCTTCCTCTCTCAGGCCTCCCTGCGCGTCATCCCCCTCCCCGCCCTCTGCCTCCACCTGTTCCCCACTCCCCCACCCTCTGCCTTCCTCCTTCCAGCCTTCAGGTCCTCCAGCTGGGCCCTACATCATGCTCCACAGAGCTCCATAGAAAGTCATTGGCGTTCCTCTCACCGAGAGTCCAGGCTGAGGGTGAATCTGTTTCTCTGTTGTTGCCACCTCTGGACCTGAGCAAGGTGACACCAGCGCAGCCCACCCAGTGCAGCCTGGAGGGCGTGTGGGGGCCGAGCTGACTGTGCTGGGTCAAATGCACGGCCCTCAGGACTGTGACTGGAAGTTCCTGGGCGTTGCCTGGCTTGGTTGATTTTCTTCAGGACTGCTGTCATACACTTACTACTAAAAGTCTCAGTTCTGTGTGTGACATTCTGTAAATTACGCGTATCCCATGATCTCTTATGGTTGAGATCAGGGAACAGTTTGGCCATTCACTAGAAATTGGGTCTGTTTTAAAGATGATATTTCAGAGGATTTAGTCTTTTCCGTGGGGTACCTTTTACTTCTAAACTGCCACAGAATAGTAAATGTTTTGATATTGTAATTAAGGGCAGTTGGTCTGGCCTTTACACAGTTTAGGCCTGGATTTGTTTGGTTTGGTTTTCAGAGTTTTTTTCCTTTTAATAGAGTTGACTTTTTTTTTGAGACAGAGTCTTACTCTGTCCTAGGCTGGAGTACAGTGGCACAATCTCAGCTCACTGCAACCTCCGCCTCCTGGGTTCAATCGATCTCCTTCCTCAGCCTCTCTGGTAGCTGGAATTACGGGCTTACACCACCATACCCAGCTAATTTTTGTATATTTAGTAGAGACGGGGTTTCACCATGTTGGCCAGGCGGGTCTTGAACCCCTGAGCTCATGATCCGGCCCATATTGGCCTCCCAAAGTGTTGGGATTACAGGTGTGAGCCATTGCACCCGGTCAGGCATGACTTTTTAGAGCAGTTTTTGGTTTGCAGCAAAATGGAGCTGAAAGGGCAAAGTGTCCTGAATTCCCCGCCCCCTTGGACAGCCTCCCGCCCCACGGACACCTGTCCCAGAGCAGAGGCCCTCAAGCACCCATCACCCATATCGGGGTTCACACTTGGTATGTGTGAGGACAAGGAGCCCCATCAGAGCATCACACAGCACAGCTTTACTCCCAGAAGAGCCTCTGCTGGGCCTAGCTTTTAAATCCTTTCTTTCCATAGCAAGCACATCGAATCGTAACCTGGAGAACTCTGGAGGTGCTACTTTGGTTATAGTTTGCTAGTTTGTTTGAATTAAGTCACCGTCTGTTGTGCCTGGCCTGTGCCTGGGTAGGCTGGTGGCCTGTGCACAGCGGCGCCAGGGCACTTAACCCAAGCGAAGGTGGGCTCACCAGCCCCAGCCACGGAGGAGATACCATTTCGTTGCTGAAAACATTTGTTTGTGCCAGGAAATGAGAAAAGAGTGTTTGTGTCAGTGGTTGTCAATCTTAGCTGACCTGAATGGGCTGGGATGAGGCCCTGGCGTCCATTTTTAAGGAGTGCCCATGTTGTTTATACAGACCCTCACGTATAGCCAGGGCTGAGACGGTGTGGGTCCCTGACTGTCAGTTCATGAGGAGATATCAGTCCCTGCTCTGAACCTTACATGACCTGAAGGGCAGTCTTGTTTCCAGAACTTTCTATTAACCTCAACATTCTATAAATACACGCCAGCCAGGCTACATCTTGTTTTATTGTTATGTTGTAGATGCTTTTCTTTTTTGAAAACTGAGCTGTTTAATTGGTTTAGAAAGGTTCGCTTTTCTCCTTAGATGGAAACTAATTTTATCTCTGGCAGAAACAAGTCTTTAATGCGAGGCGTTTATAGTGATGCGGTTTTAATGCTGGTTGAATTTGTCACTGAACATTTAGCAACTCCCAAATGGCATGGGTTGTGATGGCACCTTAAACCTGATTGTTCTTCAGGGATCGAGGCAAAAGTGTCAGTAGGTACTAAACGGTGGAACATGAGCCTCCCAGTGGGTAGAGGGCCTGTTACAGATCTGTGTGATGTTCAAGATTCACTCTGGTGCCTGCTATTCCTAGGGATTTGTATGTAAATATTTGTCCAATGATTAACCAGCAACAGTGGATCTCCCCCAAATTAACCAGTGTTTCTTGTTTTAAGCCACTTCACTTATACAGTGATGAGGGATTGGATTGTCAGTTTAGGTCCTCAGTGAAGAGTCCCTGGTCAAGGGTGTATTTCACAGTAAAACAGGCAGTGATGAGCGAGTTCTGTGCCTTTAAGCCTTCTGGACTGCAGGCCCTGCTGGCTGAGTGTGATGTCGTGAGGGTCACCTGGCAGGGGCACAGTGTGGCTTAGTGCAGAAAGCCTGGGCATTGGGGCCACACGCCACCTCTTATGGGGCCCAGGACACGTTACTGAACCTCTCGAGCTTTGGCTTGGAGCCTTTCAAGCCAGAAATGAAGACAGAGTCAGCAGTGGCAGCTGTTACCTCACTGTCACCCACTGAGACACCACCCTTGTCTTTCCAGCATAGAATTACATGTGGATTCCCAGCACTGCTTCAGAGCACTCCATGGGTGTGTCACTTCCAGAGAAGTCACATTCCCCAAGTTAAACTTTTAGTTGTTTTTTTTTTTTTTTTGAGATGGAGTTTCGCTCTTATTACCCAGGCTGGAGTGCAATGGCACGATGTCGGCTCACCGCAACCTCCGCCTCCTGGGTTCAGGCAATTCTCCTGCCTCAGCCTCCTGAGTAGCTGGGATTACAGGCTCGCGCCACCACACACAGCTAATTTTTTGTATTTTTAGTAGAGTCGGGGTTTCACCATGTTGACCAGGATGGTCTCAATCTTTTGACCGTGTGATCCACCCACCTCAGCCTTTCAAAGTGCTGGGATTACAGGCGTGAGCCACCGCGCTCGGCCAAACTTTTAGTTTTTTGAGACAGAGTCTCGCTCTGTCACCTAGGCTGGAGTGCAGTAGTACAATCTCCACTCACTGCAGCCTCCGCCGTCTCCTGGGTTCAAGCAATTCTTGTGCCTCAGCCTCATGAGTAGCTGGGACTAAAGGCACCCGCCACCATGCCTGGCCAATTTTTGTGTTTATTGTAGACACTGGGTTTCACCATGTTGGCCAGGCTGGTCTGGAACTCCTGACCTCAGGTGATCCACCCGCCTTGGCCTCCCAAAGTGCTAGGATTATAGGCATGAGCCACTGGCCTCGTAAGTGCTGGGATTACAGGTGGGAGGCATAGCACCGGGCCATTTTTAAAAATGTTCTTCTGTCAACAAACATATATAATTGGATATTTACATTGAAATATTTATGGTGAGGTCTGACATGAGTGAACTGTGAGCAGTCAAGACATTGAAGATACCCACGGCCCTGCAGGGCTCTTGCCTGCCCTGCGACCGGGCCTCCTCACCCTCCCCTTAGCACCCACACATCTGCGGGCTGCACGTAGGTGAGGTGGCGTTTCCTGGAGTTTAACACATGTGGAATCACAGAATGCTTGAACTCACTCACCACGGTGGCCAGGACCATCCTCCAGGAGTGTCTGCAGGTCCTTGTGTTGCTGAGTGGTTTCCCTTTGTGTCTCTAGCACTATTCGTTTATCCCTCAGCTGTCGGATAAATTTATCAGAAGATACTCTGTTGATTTATTTTTAAATATTCTGACATCGTTACCTAGGTAAACTCGTGACTCGGGTTTGGTGTACAGATGATTTCAGCACCGGGTACTAAGCATCAGTACATGGCAGTTTTGTTAAAAAAATTTTCTGAGCCTCCCAGTGTGTGTTGCTGCCCTCCTTCTGTCCCTGCGTTCTCATCATTTAACTCTCACTTAGAAGTGAGGACACGTAGTATGGGGTTTCTGTTCCTGCGTTAGTTTGCTGAGGATAATGGCCTCCAGCTCCCTCCAGTTTCCTGCAGAGGGCGTGCTTTCGTTTTTTTCTGGCTCCATAGTATTCCACGGTATAGATCTACCACATTTTCTGTATCCATCTGCTGCTGACAAGCCCCCATGTTGTTTCTATGTCTGTGCTGTTGTGAGTGGTGCTGCAGTGAACATTTGAGTGCATGCATCTTTATGGTAGAACCATTTAGAGTCCTCTGAGTAGATAGCCAGGAATGGGACTGCTAAGTTGAATGGTAGTTCCATTTCTAGTTCTTTGAAGAATTGCCACATTGCTTTCCACGACGGTTGTACTAATTTACACTCCCACCAACAGTGTATACATGTTCCCAAGAGGTACTGTTTTAGCTCACAGCCATAGTTTAAGGTGAAGGAGAGGGAAGGAATTGGACAGCCCAGCACTTTGGTGTCCCGGGGTATGTGTCCCGCAGAAGGTGGACAGCAGTTCCTGATTGCCTGGCTATGCTAGAGAATGGCTGACCTTGTCCCGTGGATGGCGCTCGTCATGGTCATCACTTGGTCTCTCCAGACTTCTGTCTGCTGGAATGAGGCGTCAGCTCCCAGGCCGATTGGATGATTAGTGCGCTTCAGAACCACTGTCTAGGCCTGGAGGGGCCTCAGTCTTGGCTGCAGTATTTGTAGATCCGCTTTTAGAAATTTGATGTGCCTGAGACCATAGTCTGGGAGGCAGTGACCTGCAGCAGCCACCCACCTGTCGTCTGCCCTCACCATGGTGGGTCTGGGTCCTCCTGCCACATGGTTCCTCCTGCAATGTGTTTGAATGATTTTTTTTATTTCGGCCCCTGACCTTCTATCTCTTCAGTCAGCTAAAGAGATTTTAAAAGAAAATGGTAGTGTGTACTGTGCACACCTTAGCCCAGGGCTGAGGAGGAGCGTCTTGTGAAGGAGCTAATGCTTGCGGGCTCAGGTCCCCTCTCAGAGGGACTCTTGCCAGAGCAGAGCAGGCCTCAGCCCTTCCTGAAGAAGGCCCCAGCCAGCCCCCTCATCAGGGTGTGGGAGCGCTTTAGTTCACAATGGTCGGCGCAGGGTTCCTTGTGAAATCTGCATTGGCTCCCTGTCCCGAGGCACCTGTGTGTGTCTTCAGTACTTTGTCTTCCTCCTCCGTGCGTCCCTGACCAATGAACATACGAGCCAGCTTCCCTCTGGTGAAAGCGAAGGGCGGGATTCATCCCATGAGCTCGGCCTTTCTTCATTTGACACCAACATTTCTGTCACTAGTTCTGATGCTTACCTTCCTGTGTTCTACTTTTTAATGTTTTTGTAAGAGAAGAGCAAAGTCAGCTAGATTATTTGCCCAGACCCCTTGCTCTGTGGATACAGATGCTTTGGCTGGCAGAGAGTACCACCGCTCACTGGCTCTCAAAGGCTCTGTCAGCAGGCGGAAGCCATTTCCCTATATGGAGGATGCATCTGGGTGTCCACACTGCATGGCCAACAGTGCACAGCGTGCTGAGCCGAGCCAGGAGAATGGCGGGAGAAAGCCCAGCTATGCCCAACTGCCCTCCAGTCTCCTCGGCCTTAGGCCTGAGAGGGCACCCATCCGGCTTAGTCACCAGGAAACCAGAGTCCTTCACACCTTCTGGAATTCTCCAGTGTCGGAGGAAGCTGTCCATGTTCAGAGCCACCTTAGGTGGTTTGCCCGTCATTGGCATTCCTGGACCTGGAATTGGGCAGCCCCAGCCAGGGCGGTGGCTACCATGTGCCCAGAAGTCCCCCTCCTGTCCTTCCTTCCTCGCCTAGCTCACAGCTACCCTTGGATGAAGGGAGCCGGCCACAAGGTGCAGTCCAGGCTGGGCCGGAGGCCGTGACCATCGGCAATGCCCCCAGAGCCAGGGTCCTTGTGCAGGAATGTGGGTTACTGCCTTCCAGGGAGTTCTTCATCTGGCTTCTAACAGGTCACCTCTTGCTCTACCTCAAATAGAAGCATGTAGAACACTGTGGTATTGGCATAAGCAGAAGCTGATGTGGTGCTTGCTCAGGGTCGCTGTGTGTAGCTCTGCCTGTGGCCCTGCCGGCGGCAGTGTGAGGCCAGCTGTGTGTGGAGCTTGTTTTTCCAGAGTGCCCTGTGCGGGCGGCTCCCGGCCTCCTCTTCGAGTCAGTCATGGCCATGCAGGACTGGAACCGGGCTAGCAGGTCACAGAGTCAGCAGCCCTGTCACGCCTCTGAACTGCTGTGGTCTCAGGGTGGGTCTCCATCTAGAAACCTTCACAGTCCAGTGGCCTGTGGGCTGACGCGGGTGGGAGGCTTTCTCTCTGGGGTTCAGGCCTTTCCCTCCTGCTGCCCTGCCTCTGTGCAGCCCAATGGGGTCCCCTGTGGGGGAGGCCTGGGTGTGGCAGTGCTGGCTGTGTTTGGGATCCCTGGCTGTGGTGCCTTCTGAAGAGGAACCCTTTCCTGTGGTTAACTCAGCAGCCAGCCCACCCTGGCGACACCAAGGTCGTATTCCAGCCCTCAGCAGCGTAGCTATGTCTCTTTATCGCCTGCACTGCAAGTTTTCTTTTTTTTGAGTTGGTGTCTCACTCTATCATCCAGGCTGGAGTGGAATGTTGCAAACATGGCTCACAGCAGCCTCAACCACCTGGCCTCAAGCAGTCCTCCCATCTCAGCCTACCCAGTAGCTGGGACAACAGGTGCATTTCACTACGCCCAGCTAATTTTTGTGTTTTTTTGTAGAGACATGGTCTTGCTATGTTGCCCAGGCCAGTCTCAAACTCATGGGCTCAAGCAATCCTCTCACCTCAGCCTCCCTAAGTGCTGAGATTACAGGTGTGAGCCACCATGCCTGGTCTGCACTGCTGTTTACTTAATATTTTTCTTTAACTCGATTTTTTGTTGTTGTTTTGAGACAGAGTCTCGCTCTTGTCGCCCACTCTGGAGTCTAGTGGTGTGATCTCGGCACACTACAACTTCCACCTCCTATGTTCTAGCAGTTCTTCTGCCTCAGCCTCCCGAGTAGCTGGGATTACAGGCACCTGCCGCCACGCCGAGCTAATCTTCTGTATTTTAGTACAGTTGGGATTTCACCATGTTGCCCAGGCCAGTCTCGAACTCCTGAGCTCAGGCAATCCGCCTGCCTTGGCCTCCCAAAATGCTGGGATTACAGGCGTGAGCCACTGCCCCTGGCCTTTAACTGGGTTTATTGTTAAACGTGGCTTTGTCCAAGGGCGTTTGGCTTGCAGGCACAGAGCTGATTAACTGATTATGTGTTTTTTGATAATAAGGTGGTGATGATTAAGAGAAAATGTAGCCAGTTAAATAAGGCTTCCTGGGTGACACCACTGGACCTGTGAGGTGCGGCACATCCCAGCAGAGGCCACCTCCTGCCCTCCACGCCTGCTGTTCTTGCAGATGGGGGCTCTGCTGCTCAGAGCAACACGGCCATGTCAGCTTCTCTCCGCATTGTCTGTGGCACGCTGGTTTCCCCCACCCCCACGCCTCTCACTGCCCTGTGCCTGTCTCTGTGCAGCCCGAAAAGCCCCAGCTTTCTTTGCCGACTATGCTCTGGGAGTGAGGAAGTGATGCGGGGCGAGCGTGTTGCAGCAGTGCACCCCAGACCCTTCCCTCCTGTGGGAGGAGGAGTGCAGCATGCAGAGGGGGAGAGGGCAGGGACACTGGCCCTGTGGGGAAAGAAGGTGCTGTCACAGCCTGTACTATCCCCACTGGGACCCTAGCCTGGAGCCCCCCATCCTGTGGCCCCTGCCTGTGGCCCCTCAGCTCTCAGGTGGCCACGGGCCCATCCCCTGCTCCTTCCCGGCACTCCTGGCCTATTCCTATTTGGACTCAGATGGGTTCTTAGCATCCAGAGGATTCCCACGCAGCCATGGTCAGCAGGGCACCCAGGACAGACCCCACTCCCCCAACTCCATGCAGCATCTGGGCCTTGGGAGCGGCTGCCTTCCTCTTGGTGAAAGGTGCCTGTGTGTATGGGGAGCACCCGCTTTTATGATACTGCCCGTTCCTGGGCACCTTGTCTTTAGCTTCTGACCTGAAGATGAGCACAGGTTCGCGATGGTGAGGGCGTGTGGGTGCAGCTCACGATCTTCTCTGTGGCAGGTACATGTCCCAGAGCAAGCATGCGGAGGCACGGGAGCTCATGTACTCAGGAGCTCTGCTGTTCTTCAGCCACGGCCAGGTAAAGACCAGGAGCAAGACCACGACCACAGTCTTGCTCCCTCCTGCGTCCCTTCCTGCTCCTGGCAGGCGAGTTGAGGTGGGAATGACATGGGAGAAGCCTGATGGACTGCCCCGGGCCGTGGCCACTGGGGATGCAGGTGGCGGGGGGCCCAGAGTCCCCAGCCTCGGCTGCTCCACTCGCAGGCTGGGGCTCTGTGCTGCGTTTGTGCATGATGGGGCTGAGTGGGCATTGTTTGGTGTAAATGGCCCTGTCCCTTTTCATTTGATCCTCGGCCAGGAGTTCTCCGTTTTTCAGCGGCATTGCCAAGGGATGTGGTGCTCAGAATAGACTCCTCAGCCCTGGCTGCGCTCTGGCTTCTGTGCGCACTCTGGCTTCTGCTGGAAACCCAGCCTTGTCTTTTCTGTCCTGAACAGGTCAGAGCTTTGTGCTTGATTTTGGTGTGTTTCTCTGTTTTGTAGCAAAACAGCGCTGCAGACTTGTCCATGCTGGTCCTGGAGTCCCTGGAGAAGGCAGAAGTGGAGGTGGCCGATGAGCTGCTAGGTGAGCATCTGGCCTTCACCCGCGGGCCCTATGACAGTGGCCCCAATACACCCCTACCTGGGCCTCTGCGCTGCGTTTTTCTGTGTGCTCTGGGCTAACTCTGCTGCAGAGGCGATTCCCACCTGGTCCCAGTGAGCCAGGTCCCCTGGCTGCCCCTGGCCCAAGCATACTGCAGGCTGAGCAGCACTTGCTGTGACTTGTAGGCAAGGCATGACCTGGATCCTGTGCTCTGCACCGTGCCAACTGACAGTGGCCTCGCCGCCAGCCGGCAAGGTGGGGCACCATTTTGTCCAGGGATTTGGCTTGTTGGCCTGTCCCATCGGGTGAGTGTGCAGTCGGCAAAGCCCTTCTGTGAGCTGCCTGGGTCTGAGTCCCACTCCTGGTCTCTGCTGTTCTAGGAGAGGCCCTTGGGTCAGAGCCAGGTACCCAGAGCGGCCACAGCTGTTTCTGGGCTCCAGCTCCCCATGGAGCCTTCCCAAGCCCCTGCCTCTGCCAAGATGTCCATCCTTCCTCACCATGCTCTGGGACACATGGCACTGGCACTGCAGTGGGCAAGTTGGTGGGGTGGCCCACAGGTCACTCAGGGATGCCACCAGCTTCCTCTTCCTGTTAAGTAGTTGCATATCGAAATCCACTTCTGTAAGGCATGTGGTCCAGAGAGCCAGAGTTGCCGTGCGTTCCTCTGATGAGGGTCTATGCTATTTGCAGAAAATCTGGCTAAAGTGTTCAGCCTGATGGACCCCAACTCTCCTGAGCGCGTGGCCTTCGTGTCCAGAGCCCTGAAGTGGTCCAGCGGAGGCTCCGGGAAGCTGGGCCACCCGCGGCTACACCAGCTGCTGGCCCTCACCCTGTGGAAAGGTAGGCCTGGGGACTGAGCAGGCGGGGGTGCCACTGTGCTCTCATGGTGTTGATTTGCGCTGTGTATTCCAGTCCGTCGGGGTTGCCCACCAGGGTGGTCGGGGTTTCACCCTGTGGTCACGTGGGCCTCTCCAGGCCTTCCCATGGGACGCTGTGACCCTCAGGGAGGCAGCCACACCCTCACAGGGCCTAGGTGTGCTGCTGCACGGATCTCATCATCTGATGAGGCCTCTGGGAGATTCATCTCCTCGTGGGATCTGGCTGTCTGCAGTGTTCTTACTGCTGGTGCTCTTAGTTCCACATCTGCAACTCTGAGGCAGGAGTGGTTATGGGTGAATGCTCATTGAGTGAGTGGAATGAGGTTCTTGTGGGGGTTTAGAAGTGTCCTCCGCAGAGCATTCCCTGGGAAACAGGGTTGCAAGTGGCCCCAGTACCGTGAGACAGTTTTCTTCCACTGTCAGCAGGCCTGCTCAGGTCTGCATGTGCCTGGGCTTGGCAGGTGGGGAGGTGGCACCCAGGGCAGCCCCCGAGATGGAAGCTCTAGGAACTTGGAGGTCTAAGCTGAAGGCCTTTGCTCTAGAGGTCAGGGCCGCTGAGCTTTGAACAGCTCCTCCTGGACATGGCTGTTCTACCTGGCATGGTGGCAGCTGCATGAGGGCTTGTGCTCTGCCCATGTCAGCAGCCTTGCAGTGCACACCTGTCCCACCTCATCCCTGGTCACACAGGTTCCACCTGGGGTGAACAGGAGGCTCATCACCCTTGGGCTCCTGGCAGGCATATTAGACCTTCTCCCCCACGTGACAGGAAGGGGAAGTGAGCAGATCCAGGTAGAGTTTGGAGACCACAGAGTTCAGGGAGGCTCGTCTCAGAGCCTGGCGAACCTGCCCCTCGCTGTGTGCCAAGCAGAGGGGCAGCCACAGGGATATGAGCTGGTGCCTGCCTCGCCTCAGTCTCCCCGTGGTTACCTCCTTCCTAGAAGGGGCTGGCGCAGGTCGGTGCCTCATGGCCCCTGGAGTGCACCTGCTGCTACTTCCCCTGGCCTCTGCCGACAGCCAGCCTCCCATGCACCACCTGTGCCCCGGCCAGCACGCCTCCACACGAACATGGCTGCAGGCAACCCTACTCAGTCCTGCGTGGTGAGCCGCTGCTCTGTGTGGGCCCCGATGCCAGGTTGGGGAGTGAGGAGCTGTCCCCTTACCTACCTGGGAGTGTCGCCTGCCTTTGGGATGAATTAGGGACAATTGCGTCAACAGTGTGGCTGCCCTCGCTACTCCTTTGCATGGGCCCTGTGGGCAGAACCAGGCAGTGAGTGAGTGGATAGGGTGGGTGGCACCCATGCTCAGTGTCCAGGAGACCTGCATGGCAGCTCCTAAGACAGGCACAAGCAATAGTAAGGAGGGACATATGTGTCTGTTAGGATCCCTGCCCACCATGGGGTAGGTAGGGGCTGTCTGGGGCACGTGTGGGAGGGCTGTGCTCAGCGCCTCTGCCGAGATCCCCCCTGAAGAGGAGCCCTGGCTGCCTCCCACTGGGGTGGGTGCAGGCCCAGGTCCCCGACACCATGACGGTGCTGTGGGGCATTGCCAGACCTCACCCTGGGAGCCCAGGCCTTGTCCACGCTGAGGTGGCTGCTTATGGCCTCTGCTGTCCTGAACACAGACTCCTTGCAGGACCTGTGGGCTCGACCTTCCTTGGTACTTTTCTCCTGGGGAAGAAATAACGCCCACAGGTAAAGGCTTGGGGATGCAGGGAGACAACAGGAGAGAAAGCAAAGTGACGGTGATGCTGGCAGCCACACAGGCAGCAGGAGGGGCCTGGAGGCTGCTGTCGGTAAAGGGCGCCATAGGTGGAAGGGGTGGGGCATGCTGGCAGCCACACAGGCAGCAGGAGGGGCCTGGAGGCTGCTGTCGGTAAAGGGCGCCATAGGTGGAAGGGGTGGGGCCTGGAGTGTGCTGCAGAGATGTGCACCGTGGGAAGGGCGGGGCTCCCGAGGCAGGAGAGGGGCCTAGAGTGTGCTGCAGAGATGTATACTGTGGGAAGGGCGGGGCTCCCTAGGCAGAGGAGGGGCCTGGAGTGTGCTGTGGAGTTGTGTACCACGGGAAGGGCGGGGCTCCCGAGGCAGGTGAGGGGCCTGGGAGTGAGTGTGAGCTGGTGTTAGGGTGGGCCTGGGAGTGGAGTGAGTGTGAGGAGGTGTTAGGATGGGCCTGGGAGTAGAGTGTGAGCAGGTGTTAGGGTGGGGCCTGGGAGTGGAGTGTGAGTAGGTATTAGGGTGGGCCTGGGAGTGGAGTAGAGTGTGAGCAGGTGTTAGGGTGGGCCTGGGAGTGGAGTGAGTAGGAGCAGGTGTTAGGGTTGGCCTCAGAGTGGAGTGAGTGTGACCAGGTGTTAGGGTGGGCCTGGGAGTGGAGTGTGACCAGGTGTTAGGGTGGGGCCTGGGAGTGGAGTGTGTGCAGGTGTTAGGGTGGGCCTGGGAGTGGAGTGAGTGTGAGCAGGTGTCAGGGTGGGACCTGGGAGTGGAGTGAGTGTGAGCAGGTGTTAGGGTGGGCTAGGGAGTGGAGTGTGAGCACGTAGGGTGGGCCTGGGAGTGAGTGTGAGCACGTGTTAGAATGTGGCCTGGAAGTGGAGTGTGAGCAGGTGTTAGGGTGGACCTGGGAGTGGAGTGTGAGCAGGTGTTAGGATGGGGCCTGGGAGTGGAGTGAGTGTGAGCAGGTGTTAAGGTGGGGCCGGGGAGTGGAGTGAGTGTGTATGAGATGGTGTGGGTTGAGATGGTCATTGGGTCAGTGTGGTGTGAAGATCAGGCTGCTTTTTGCTGTTCATGTAGATTCTAAGTGCACTGGCCTGGGCTCTGATTACGTTGCTCCCTGTACGTTTCCTCTGGTAGGTGAGAAGGGTTACACGGTGACGCTCTGTCATTGCTCATCACTATGTGCACGTTAATGTGGTTGGATTTGACAGCTCTGGGAGCTTGGAGAAAGAAGGTGCTGTGTGGCTGCGTGGCTGCTTGGCTGCGTGGCTGCTTGGCTGCGTGGCTTTCGCTCTTCGCTGTTTTTGTTATTTGGTGGTGTGTGGGGTGTGGACTGGCTGAGTCCCTGTGGTGGCACCTCTGCCTACGGGGCTCTCCATGGGCTCTTCTCATGGGCAGGTGGGATAGAATTAACATGGATGCATCTTTCCCCATCTCCTGTGCTATATTATATTCATGAAGCATATTTGAGTTTTTCTGTCTTTTCTTTGCAGAACAAAACTATTGTGAGTCACGGTATCATTTTCTGCACTCAGCGGACGGGGAGGGCTGTGCCAACATGCTGGTGGAGTACTCCACATCCCGGGGCTTCCGCAGCGAGGTGGACATGTTTGTGGCCCAGGCCGTGCTACAGTAGGTGTCGGATGGCTCTACGGGTTCTGGCTTCCCTTGCTGCCTTGTCCCCGGCCCGAGCCGTGGTGCAGCGTAAACTGAGTTCACTCCGGGCAGAACCTGCAGTGCACGTGTCAGCCAGAGTGACTCATGAATTTTAATAAGTTTTATGAAGTTTAAGAAGTATTTTGGAATCTCCCCCTTTTCTGCGGTGCACCTCTCACCTGCTGCCGGGAGGCCCTGTAACCTCTGCTCTATTCCGGCCGGCCTCAGCCTGTGAACTGTGGGAATGCACTCCCAGTTCTTAGAATTGTCAGTGAGTCATCTACCCTGCAGCCCTCCCGCCAGCACACTGGGGCATCCTGCAGGCTGAGCTTGGGCACTCGCTTCCTTTCTCATGAAAGCCTTATGTGTGCCCAAGTCCATTTCTTCCACAAAACAAATGTGAATTTCTAGGCGGGCGTTGGGGTAGGACTGGCTTTGTGGATTTGATGTGGGATTTGGGGACAGTCATCCTCTGACCTCAGTGCTGCCCACTGCTGAGCTCTCCCAGGAGGGCGTCCGTGACTTAAATGAAAAGCTGGGTCAAACCCAGAGCTCACTGGCTCTGCACTGCGTAGATGTGTTCTCTGGATTGATGGTAGCCCGCCCCTGGGCCACTGAGCCCTCTCTGTAGGCCCTCCTCAAACTGGAGCCAGGGTCTGCGTAGCACCCGCCAGCTGCTGGGCTGTGGCCAAGTGTTCTGGTGTGGGCCATCATCTGATGGGTGCGGGCAACGGGGGAGAGAAGAGCTCACTCAGTGCATTATTCAGATGGGGCTCAAGCTGGGTTCTGGCTCCGGAGCCTTATGACCTTCTCAAGCTTCATTCTCTTCACCTATAAATTGCTGGCCTCCCCAGGATCCCCTGCTTGTGAGAGCGACACGCATGAAGCACTGGGTCCCTCCATGCTGGGGGCTGTGAGACCCGTGGGTGTGTGAGCTTGGGAAGGACCAGGGCATGTCAGAGGCTGGTGCCTGCGCGGGTGGAAAATGTGTCCTCCAGCCTTTCCTCCACCAGCATGTTCTCATTTCCAGGTTTCTGTGTTTAAAAAACAAAAGTAGTGCATCTGTGGTCTTCACGACGTACACCCAGAAGCACCCGTCCATCGAGGATGGGCCTCCGTTCGTGGAGCCGCTGCTCAACTTCATCTGGTTCCTGCTGCTGGCTGTGGATGGGTGCGTCTCAGTATTCTGGGGGTGTACGTTGTATGTCGATGTGGTGGCGTGGGTAGCTGGGGGGGTGTGTGCACGCAGGTGTTGGGTGTCAATGTGATGAGTGCAGATGTTGATGTGTGGGGGTGGGTGGGTATAGCTGTGGCATGGGTAGTTGTGTGGGGGGTGTGTGTTGTAGACTTGGTGGTGTAGGTAGCTGTGGGTGTGTGTAGGTGTGTTGGTTGTAACATGGTGTAGGTAGCTGTGTGGGTGTGTGTAGGTGTGCTGGTTGTAGACATGGCGTAGGTAGCTGTGTGGGTTGGTGTGAGTGTGCTGGTTGTAGACGTGGTGTAGGTAGCTGTGTGGGTGTGTGTAGGTGTGCTGGTTGTAGACATGGCATAGGTAGCTGAGTGGGTGTAGGTATGCTGGTTGTAGACATGGCGTAGGTAGCAGCGGTTGGGTGTATATGTGCTGGTTGTAGACATGGCATAGGTAGCTGAGTGGGTGTAGGTATGCTGGTTGTAGACATGGCGTAGGTAGATGTGTGTTGGTTGTAGACATGGCATAGGTAGCTGTGTGGGTGTAGGTATGCTGGTTGTAGACATGGCGTAGGTAGCTGTGTGGGTGTGTAGCTGTGTTGGTTGTAGACATGGCATAGGTAGCTGGGTGGGTGTAGGTGCGCTGGTTGTAGACATGGCATAGGTAGCTGAGTGGGTGTAGGTATGCTGGTTGTAGACATGGTGTAGGTAGCTGTGGGTGTGTAGCTGTGTTGGTTGTAGACATGGCGTAGGTAGCTGTGGGTGTGTGTAGGTGTGTTGGTTGTAGACGCGTAGGTAGCTGTGGGTGTATAGGTGTGTTGGTTGTAGACGTGGAGTAGGTAGCTGTGGTTGTGTGTAGGTGTGCTGGTTGTAGACATGGCGTAGGTAGCTGTGTGGGTGTGTGTAGGTGTGCTGGTTGTAGACTTGGTGTAGGTAGCTGGGTGTGTGTAGGTGTGTTGGTTATAGACATGGCAGTGTAGGTAGCTGTGGGTATGTGCAGATGAGTGTTTTAGGTATAGACTTGGTGGCATGGGTTGCTGTGTGGGTGTTGGTTGTAGGCGTGGCATGGGTAACTGTGTGGGTGTGTCCAGATGAGTGTTGGGTGTAGGCATGGTAGCATGTGCAGGGGTGTGTGTGCAGGTGCGTGTTGCCATCTTCTATGGGTGTAGGCGCAGTGGTGTTACAGGTGTGTGTGTGGGTGTTGGGTGTAGACGCAGTGGTGGTGTAGGTGTGTATGTGTAGGTAAGTGTTGGGTGTAGATGTGGCAATGTGTGTAGGTGTGTGCGCAGGTGTGTGTGGCCCTCTCCTGCTCCCCCAGCATCTCCCTATGTCCCTGTGTCCCAGCGGAAAGCTGACGGTGTTCACCGTGTTATGTGAGCAGTACCAGCCATCCCTCCGGCGGGACCCGATGTACAACGAGGTGAGGGCTGGGACTGGAATGGGGAGGGGCCCTCAAGGCTGCACTGCCCTAGCTGGGACCCCACAGCCTGGGTCCGCCCTCTCCTGAACCTGCTGCCCATGCCTTGCAGTACCTCGACCGCATAGGACAGCTGTTCTTCGGTGTCCCGCCCAAGCAGACATCTTCCTACGGAGGCCTGCTCGGTAAGCTGAGGTGCCCTCGCCACTCCCACTGCAACCCTGGGTCAGTGTGGGGTCCTCTGCAGTCCTTCACGTAGCAGTGGTTCTTTGCTCTTTTCAATGTTTCTCAGTTTCCTTTTGTTAGTAGGAAATTATATTTCAGAGTTGAATCCTAGCTCAGTGCCTCCCAGCCCCGTCTCTGCTCCAGAGCTCCCCGCCCCTGAGGTTTCTCACACTTCCTGGTAGGGGTCGATTTGTGGGGCTGGCTGTGTGCTCAGAGAAACATCTGACTTGTCCGGTTTCCAGCAGTTTGGTTTCCGGAGACTTTTGAACTCTGGCTTTGTATGTACAGAGTGGTTGTTCATTGGATGAAAATCAGGTGACAGTGACCACAGTTGGCCCCTGTGAGCAGCCGTTGAAGGCTTGGCTCATCCAGTTTATTAGTAGGTCGCTGTAAGGGTGTGTGGCGCATGTGCTCTATGGCAGCACTTCTCTGTTGAAAAGTATACATGAGGTCGTGTTAGTAGCTCTCTAGGGCCCTCCGTGGCTTCTGTTGGAGGATGTGGAGGGCATCTCTGTAGGCCCACATCGCCACTCCACAGCCCCATTGGTGGATGTGGAAGGTGGTTCTATGGACTCTCCCCCTTCCTGTGGCTGCTCCGTGGACATGGAGGGTGGTTCTGTGGATACCCCCATGGCTTCTCCATGTTTGAGTATTTCTTTGTGGTCATCGGTTCCCTGTCCTCGGGTTCACGGGCCACATACAGTAGTGTTGTGAGACTTTTTACATGTCGCTTGGGATGCCTGTTGAGGCATCTGTGGGAGGAGGGGTTCGGGGGCCGGCAGGAGGCTGCCTAGGCCTGACCGCCATGCTGTCCTTCCTTCCAGGGAACCTTCTGAGCAGCCTTATGGGCTCCTCAGAGCAGGAGGAGGGGGAGGAGAGCCCCAGCGACGGCAGCCCCATCGAGCTGGACTGAATTGGCCGGGCCACGTGGAGACACCATGGTCAACGGCGGCTCGAGGGACATTTCGGAGGCGAGTCCTGGGTGGCTCCTGGCCCCAGGGGCTCCTGGCCTTGAGGCTGGCAGTGGCCGCGTGCTGGCGCGTGTCTGTTTGTGGCACGTCTGGTTTGTGCGGCGGCTCAGGGTGGCGCGGCTGCCGGTTGCTATGCTGCTGGGACCCAAGAGTGGGGCTTTGCCCCTGCTGGCCGCCGCGTCCCCCGAGATTGACCCACAATAAAGCACAGGCCTTACGCGGCGTCCCCTCTCCCACTCCTTTGTTCTGGGTCCTTTCGGGGGGGCTGAGGGGCAGCACAGGAGGCCCGTCCTCAGGGACCTGGCACATCACTCTCCTTGCTTGGCGTCCAGAGCAGCTGTTGTCGCCAAAGCAAGTGCTGGCCCTCACACGTGAGAACCCAGCTGGGCCCTGCGTGGTCTGCAGATGCGTGCGGCTGTTTCTGAACACAGGTCACTCTGCAGTCACAGCGAACTGGTCCCCATCGCAGACGGAGCGCATGTGCCCTGCACCACATCCTCACACTCGGTGAAGGGACGGCCCACGTGGCATCCCGTAGCTGCATCCTGCTGGTCTCTGTGAGAGCCATGCTGCTGTGCTGGAAATTCCGCTTTAAAAAGGGATACCATGGGACTCTGCCCATCTCTTTCATAATGCAATATTTATTTGTATTGGGTGATTGATTCCTTTGACCTAACGTTTTAGGTTTTAACCAAATAACCAGTCCAGGAGTGAGCAGCTCTGTTCTTGATGCTTTTCCAGATGTTGCCAGAACAATGACAAAAGGGGAGACGCTCTATTTTTTCACGATTCAATGACAGTTGTAGATTGATATGTAGTTGTGCATGGAAACGGGAAACGCACAGCTTTATTTACTGTAAAGCGGAATTTGAGGAAGGCTTGTGTGAACCGTTGCGCATAAATAAACCCTTTCTACCGGGCTGTGCGACGCCATTCCTTTCTCGGGCACCCACCGTGGGTGTGGGGGCCTCTGCACTCGGCTGTGCCTGGGAGCCCCCAGAGAAGGCATGCCCTGTGGCCAGACTGCCCGTGTGTGGACAAGAGCGGAGGTCCATCAGGAAGCCTCATGTTCACTCGGCTGTGATTTTAGAAGTATAGTTGTGTAATTTCATTGAAATTCATAAAGTTCATAAAAATCAAATCCACCAAGTCTGGGTGTCAGAGCCTGCAAGAGCAGACCTGTGGGTTGCCGGGGAGGCGGCAGCATGGAGCCCCTACCCTGCCCCAGGTACTAGCGGGGCACCCATCCCTCCTCTGTGGCACTGGCTTTGAGCAGTGAGTTTGATTCAGTGACTGAGGATTGTGTGCGTGATGTCACTCAGGCTTGCTGCAAGATGGCAGGAACAGCTGCTGGGACCCTGCAGGTGGCCCCGTGGCCTGCGCTTAGCCGGCGCCGCAGCATCCACCCCTATCTGCCCCAGGACGTCGCAGTGGAGTCACTGTGCATCCCTGCACCTGCTGTGAATGCTGTCAGCCAGGGGATGCCCTTCCTACAGCTGTGTCCTGATGGGGAGGTGGATGTGGACAGCAAGCGGCCCCTGCCTGGACCCACCTCCTGCGACTGCACGTCTCCCACCTGGTTTGAAAAATGCCTTCCTCCTATTAGAAAGTTGTTCTGTGGTTTTTAAAATGTAACGGTCCTCATGTACACACTCACATCGCACAAGCGTCCACACTTCGGGGGGAGGGCCGTGGTCACTGCTGGTTTCCCCCAGGGGGTGTGTCCAGTGCAGCCCAGGCCCCTCACCTCCAGGTTTGGACTGTGGTGCCTGGCGAGGCTGCGGGGGACTTGCCTGGGGTCTCAGCTCCAGGTCAGGGGTACCTCGCCCACATCTCATCAGCAGCACAACTGCCTTTGGGACCCCTAGGCAGGAGCTGGGAGACCTACCCTGTCCCCGGACCCCAGGGCCTCATGTTCTATGTGAGGGCTGAGAGTCCCAGCATGGGGGCCTGGCAGACACTGGGGAGCCCCTACCTGGGCTGCATCCCCTGCACCCTCCATGCTGAGCTGGGCTTATCTTTCAGGCTGTGGGCTCTGCTCAGGAACTGCCTAGGGGGGCCTCAGATGGAGGCAGCTGGGGAAGGAGTGCTGGGGAGTGCCTTGGGTGGGGGCCATCTCCCCTGCACAAGGAACATGGCGTTCACCAGCTCAGACACTGCATCCTCCCTCCCTCCAAACCTGGACTCGGCCACAGGGAGCGAGGGTCCCATCAGGTCCCTGGGAGTGGACAGTTTCTCTTGAAGCCACAGGGGCAGGGCCATGTGTTCCCAGCACCACCTCTTCCCCACTCCATCCTCAAACACACAACTGGAACCATGCCAGAGCCACACTTTATTCCAGGATGCAACATGGGGTGGCAGATGCCCGGCCTCAGAAGCCTCCTTCCAGGCTCTGAGGGCTTGTCCAGGGCTTTCCTGGAACACAGCTCAGCCAGACAAGGCTAGGAGAGGGCTGGGCCCCCCAGCTGACCTGCAGATGCCTCCCCCACCTGCACACAAGGGGAGCCCTAGAGCCTGGCCTGCTTTTATGGGAAGGAGATCAGGTAAATAAATACACGGCCGGGCTGCCAGCAATAAGCTAGACAGTGCCCAGCCTCCTAGGAGGGGGAAGCTGGGAGCCACAGGGCCACTCCTGCCTCTGGTGGCCTCACTGTGGCCCAGGCCATGGTCCTCAATGGTTCAAGTCCTACTGTTGGCAAGCACCGTGCTGGGCACACAGAGGCCAAGAGTGGGGGATGGCAGCCTGGTGGCCCCTCCAGCCCTGGGACCAGGAGCACGGGGTGGGGGGCTATAGCCCAGGGAGGGCCTGGGACCTGTGCAGAGACTGCCCCCTCCACCCAACAACCCCATGGTCCCGTGACACACAATAGGTGCTCAATAAATACTTGTGGAGGTGGGGGAGGGGGAGGGGCGGCATGCGAGCAGGGCCCAGTCCCCAGCGGTCAACAGCCGCCCACTGTGCCACCCCGGGCAGGGCTCTGTACTGAGGCCTGAAGCTCCCTCAGCCGTGGTGGGCAGCTCCTGGGGGCTTCATCTGACCTTGGGAGCCAGACTGGGTCCTGGAAGAAGGGGGACCCCAGGGCAGGTCGGGGGCAGATTGGCTGGGTGTGGTCAGCAGCAGCATGATGGGGTCAGAGGTCAGGCCCAGGGCCCAGCCGCCAGCCGTGAGGTTCTAGAGAAGTGTCCCGAAGGCTGCAGCTCAGGCCCTACCTGGCCATGCCTGGGCTGCCCTGAGGAGCAGGTAGAGCCGGGTGGCCTCAGGACGCTGGACCCCCCCATCCACAAGTCCCCTCTGTCCAGCCACAGTGAGTCCAGTGTCCGTGGGCCTCCGACCGCATTGCTAGGGTTTATGCTTGAAGTGTGCCTCCACTGCAATGGAACAAGGTCCTGCGTTGTCACAGCCGCAGGGAGCTGGAAGCCCAGGTAGGCCTCGGGAACCCCCTCCCAGCCCATCCTGCTCACCTGCATACTCCTGGGGCAGCATGGGCCTGTCCACTGCCTTCTGGAAGGCCGCCACCCACTCCCTCTGGTCGGACTCCGTCTCACAGGCAAACAGAAACTTGCGGTCGGGCGTGACGATGGTGATGCCGTGCGGCCAGTGGTGGCCCTGGGTGGACGGCGGGAGTCCACGCAGCACCGTGTAGCCGCTCTCCTTGCTGCCAATGAAGACTTCCCCTCGGGCAAAGGCATCCTGTGGGTGGGGGCCATGCTGGAGCTGGGGCTGGGCCATGTCCCCTCTGGCCCAGCTTCACTCTGAGCCAGGGGAGGCTACAGGCCAGGACTAGGGAAGCCCCCCACCCTTCTGGTCACACATTTGGCAGCCCCAGCTTCTCACCAGGGGGTCTTTGAAGTACATGAGCCTGCGGTCATCCATGGTGAACCATCGCTTCCGGAAGCCTTCTGTTTGCTGTGGGTCAGAGGGCCCATAATTGGCAGGTCTGCCGAGGCAGGTCCTACATCCAGTGTAGCACACCTGGGAGGGCAGGGCCCTGGCTGCCCCGAGCCAGTCAACTCCACCCACTCACACCTGCCACTGGCCACACCTGTCCTCCTGCCTCCACACTGTACCTCCCTCTTGCTCCTCCAGCTGCTCCAGTCCTCCCTGGACCCCACAATGGGGATCCAGGCCTCAGTTATGAGCCTCTCACACCTGCACTTCCCTTAAGGACCACAGAGGATGCCAGGATTTGTGTCTCCCTCCCCCATCATGCCTCAGGGAGTAGCAAGATGTGGGTCCCTGGCCATGTGGGTGCATGGGTCCTGAGGGTCAGGCTAAGTGGGCAGGGATGGTCTGACCAAAGCCCAGGACAGTGGCCCAGGTCCTGTGGGACCTCAGCCGGGCACAGACAAGGGGCTGTGAGAACCCACCTGACACCAGTTTAAAACACTCAGTGGAGGCGGCTGGGAAGATCCCAGCTTCAGTCCGAGACCCACCGTGGCGCCCCCCCACCCCCACCCCAGGCAGTGGCACACATACCTTGGGCCCGGTTTTCTCCATGTAGCCTTCCTTCAGGTAGTTCCTAGAGAGCTTTGGCACCAGCTGGGGCAGAACACACCAGGCAGGGGGTCTCAGAACTGAGGCTCAGCCTGAGCCCCTCCCCGCTCCCCTAACTCCGGACCACCAGGGCAGGGCCCAGGCCGGGCACAGCCTCCATGGGGTCTGTGGCTCTGCCTCTGCTCACCACCCCATTGCTCCCCTCCTTCCCCTTTGGCTGAGCTGAAATTCCCAGAGTGAAGCAGGTGGGCTGCAGCCACTTTAGGGTGGGCCCTTGACCAGTCCTGGCCCTACCCTAGGGCTCAAAGTCATTCCAGACACGGGGCACAAGGGCTCTGTCCACTTCCACCCTACTACCCGTCGTCCGCCCTGGAGCTGACACTCACATCTGCATCGCTGGCCCCCGGGAACGCCACCTGCAGGTAGTGGAATCGGGCAGCTCGGAGTGCGTTGAACCAGTCCACAATCTCCTAGGGGCAAAGGTGGACACAGGCTTGAGCTGAAGGGGCTGCAGGACTGGGGTGCCCATGGGGCCGCTTCCCCCAGAGCCCAGCACCTCCCCCAGCAAAGTCCTGAGAAGGGCCTGGGGGAGGCTGGACTGGGCCAGGGCTGGATAGGGGTGGAGGCTGCCATCCAAGCTCACCCATGGCCCTGGCACTGCTGGGGCCTTGGCCAGCTTGCCTGCCTTATGGGTGGTGCTATTTTTATGAAGATCCTTATTTTGTAGCTCCTGCAAGTCTTGGGGTGGTGGGGGAATGGAAGCTTATCTGTTTATAAATGCCCTTGGAGCTGTGCCCCCTACTGAGAGTAGTCGGAGGACAAAACTGCTCTCCAGGGAGCTGCCCTGGTGCTCTGGAGAGTGTGGGTTGGGCCAGCACCCTAGAACAGAGGTGGACCAGGCCTGGCACCCAGCCCATCAGGTCCTTTGGGTTCAGACTTTAGCCTGGCTATCCCCTGCCCCTAGACCCAGTGCCCCTCCCGGGGTCTGCCAACCCCTTCGGCCCTATGACCTTGTGCCCTGGGATCTGGCCTCCTGTCCACGCTACACCTGGGAGCTGGTGGCCTCTGGAAAGGTGCCACATCGGCACTCTTGGCTCCAGCCTCTCCTGCCCAGGAAGAGCTAGGGAGCCTCATCCCTTTTCCCAGCCAAGCTTCCTCAGGCTTCTCTCCCAGCCCCTCTGGCCTTGAGTTTTGTCCCACAAGTAAAGCCCCCAGCACTGGACTAATCCAATTGTGGCTTCTGCCACATGGCCCAGCACCAGCTGGAGGATGGGCCCAGGCTCTTGGATCCCGGAGGCCTCTTCACTGCCCCCACCCTCTTCCAGTGACCCGGCTCACAATGAGCCTCACCCCCCACCAAGATCACCCCTCATAGACCTCCTCCAGCCCTGCTGCTTTCTCCTGTGGCCCCTCCTCCTAAGCCACG